ATTCTTGATTTTTTGAATTAATTGTTAGTTAAAAAAACCCGATTGTTATTTTTAATTTGTTTTGGTTGCAGGATATATGGATTTATAAGATACATCATGAGCAGTCAATGGATGATGTTTCTTTGCTAATTAATGTTCTTCGTCTCTTCTACCATAAGTTAAAGAGAAATTTATAATCCTAATCATCAGGTTCTTCCGAATAAACCTCATTCATATTGTTACTAATAAAAATGATTATTTGGTTGAAGTAAGATACCATTCCTGAAATGCTCCTGCATGATTTGATTACTTTTTTACATTGTGGTAATATTTATATACTATTTTGCCATTCTAATAAAGCACTTAAATAACAATTGTCAAAAATAAAACGAGTGAATCCAAATTTTATTTTAAAGTTTACAACTATTTGAATACCTTTTGTCATTACAAATAAAGCACTTGGATAACAATTTTGAATCATATGCTTTTTATGGAGTTTCATATATACACTAATACAAAAACATTAGAGAAAGTTTTAACCCGTCAGCTTACCCACTTAAAGGATAGGAAATTCATATCTTTCCACCATCTAAGAAGTTTGATTTTGTGGGTATTTTAAAAATATCCATTCGGATTTTTGTTATATGAAGTACAATGTAATTTGAAATTTTTTTAAGACTTATGAAGTTTATTTATTAAAAGTACTTCGCAACAAATTCTTCGTTGTTATTTATATAACATATTTGAGCTTGATGAGTTGCTTCATTAAGGATGAAACATTATTTTTTTTATGTGACTATGTGTGTATGTAAGCCTATTTTAATAGCATGCTATTATGTATGTCCATGTTTGTAAGTTAATAAATTTTTATATATCTTTAATTTTTCATTACCATTTTAAATTATAATATAATTTTCATTTCTTATTTTTCTTTTTTACCCGTAGGTTTCATGGGTTGTAACCTAATATATATATATATATATATATATATATATATATATATATATTTGTGTTTGTGTTTGTGTTTGTGCGTATACTTGTATATTTATGTCCATGTATGTTGACATTACACACACTTTTTCTCAATATATAATTTGGAGCTTCATAGAATGTGGAAAGTACATAATTTAAGTATCAACGATTCTTGGTTTTCGTATTTTGTTCCTAACTCTTATATATTTTAAATATGGCGATTATATTTATATGTACTTACAAGTGTTAATTTATAACATGTCTTTTCTAGGTGAAGTTACTAACGTTATGTTTTACCTGCTTGACCTAATCTTTTCAACCTTCACGAGAATTGACCGATGCTTAATTTTAACCGAAATTTTGCAATTGTTACACATTCCTTCTTGTTTTCCATGTCGGTTATAGTCCGTTGTAAACTTTAACTCAAAACCTAAATTATATAAAAAGAGGAATCATGTAAAATAGTTTGCATAAATATTATTTTAAGTAAAAAGGTGACATGTAAAACAATATGAAAACATTCGTAACCTGAAAAACATACTTATTTTCACTGTTGAAGAAACTTTGAAAAATATATTTTTGATACAATCTTTCATGTTAATATGGATCTAATTAGCCACATCGTCCTAAAGTCATATCAATTTTTGTTAGCAAGCTGTAAAATTTCAAGACTTTTATCATATTTATGAACCGATAATAAAAACGTTAGTTAGCTTTCAACCAAGATTTACTATCAATAATGCATTTAAACTCTTAGAAGAACAAAAGATGAAACACAAAATACCAACAAGAAAACAAAAAAATGATTCAGAAACTAGTGTTTCAAACAAAAAGAAAGCTATAAAGAAAACACAAATAATCAAGGAAAAAACGTTCAGATCGAGTTTACTTGCTTCCATTAACTTAGGAACCATAAAACAAATGTCTAATAGATCTCAAAGTTTGATGATATTAAAAGAACAAAAGCTTAAATACTAAGTTTTATATTGATTTTCAAACAAATTAAGTAGGGAAAATGACTTACAAACCCAACAAAGTTTCCAAACCGTTTAAAAAACCTCAATCATGTTTTGTGTGTTCAAAAAAACCCAACAAACTTAACATTTTATCTAAAAAGTCCAACTAAGTTACAGTTTCTCGAAAGTCAAATAAGAGAAACAGATGACGTGGCTTATTACCGTATCGGAAAAATGACTTGTTAGACCAACAAAGTTTTCAAAACGTTTAAAAAACTCCAATCATGTTTTGACTGTTCAAAAAAAAAAACCAACGAACTTAAACAAAACAATATTGGAATTTTCTGAACGGTTTGAAATTTTGATGGACTTTTTAGACAAAAGGTTAAGTTCGTTGGGTTTTTTTGAACAGACAAAACATGATTGGAGTTTTTTGAATGGTTTGGAAACTTCGTTGGGCTTTTAAGTCATTTTCCCAATTAAGTAAGTACAAGTAAAAGAAGATTAAAGATGAAACAAAAAGTAACAAAAAACCCCGAAAACACTTCTAAAACTAAAGTTTCAAACAAAAAACGAAGAAACATTTTAAAAACAGAAATAATCAAAGAGAAGGTACTCAAATCAAGTTCACCTGGTTACATTGACTTTGAATCTATAAACCAAATGTTCAGTCAGTCTTAGTGTTCGAAGAAATTGAAAGAAAAAATATCAAATACAAAGCTCTAGAGTAATTTCCATAATAAACATTGATTTCAAATGAGTTTACGAGTTTTGAAACGAAATTTAGACTACAACTTAGTAGATTTGAGAGAGGCGGATGAGAAAAGAAGAAAGGAAGCTCCCAATAATGTTTTGCTCAAGAACTTGAATTAGGATTTTCTAAAGCATTATGGATAAGTTTATCCTCAAACACTTTTTCCTTAAAAAGAAAAGCAGAAAAAGTTCTCAACAATTTCAAAATTGCCACCGCAAATTTTAAATGGAAAATGAAAAAAATCTGATTTATCACGGCCATACATATTTTAAAATCAATGGTCAAAAAGTGTCATTGTGGTTCCTACCGTTTTTTTAGGTTTCTCTCTCTCTCTCTCTCTCTATATATATATATATATATATATATATATATATATATATATATATATATATCACAGGTAAATGTCATGGGTCGGTTTAGATGAGTCGATTTGTCGGTTTTAAGTGTAGGTCGGTTTTGTCAGTTTGGATGGATCTGTTTCTGAATAAAAACCAAAATCGAAACCGATTTTTCAGTTTTAAAAATTTTTAAAAGCTAACTGTCGATTTTGCTTTGATTTTGGTTTCATCGGTTTTGATCGGTTTCTTGGTTCGGATTTGCTTACCCCCCTGACAATAAGTATAAATACAAAACAAATACATGATGGCCAAACATGGGCCAAGCCTATACTATTACAATACGTATGGGCTAATATTTACACATATTATAGGACTAACAAATTCTTATTGGTTTTTAATTTGTAGATAAAGCATAGTAGGAGGATATCAGCAACTAGTGCAAACACAATAAAAATCATTTGGAAGGATGGGAGATATGCATATCATAATTTGAATTGGTTATGACAACAAGGGTAAAAGGTAGGCCAGGCCCACCTTCAAATTTTCAAAAAAAAAATTCTTTGCATATAGATATATGAATCCATTTGGGTGTAAGTGATTAAATAAACTCATGTAGGTCAGCCGCAAGGCATTTTATCTCTATTCCATAATTTTAGAGTTCGATACTAATGCCATTCAATTTTTATTATTATTATTATTATTATTATTATTATTATTATTATTTTGTAATTCATTTCTAAAATTACAGTTTGACCTCTTATATTTGGAAGTTAAATTCTTTTAATAAGTAAGTTTTCAAAGTTTACATATTTCACACATCAAATTTTATAACTTTCCATAATTCCATTTTTAGCTAATTTAATTTAGTTTTTAGTTTTTCTTATATATATATATATATATATATATATATATATATATATATATATATATATATATATATATAATATAAATTGTATTTAAGAGACATTTTTTTGTATATCTCTCTCTTTATATATATATATGGGCAAAGTGAATATACCTAACAACCTTATATAAGCTTAGGTACCTAACCTCATTAAACTACGTCATTTTGCATTAAATTTCCATTGCAATCATCTAAGGCTATTAAACTTCATCCCTAAACTTGATTTACTTCAAAAAAAATTTGGAAATTCACCATTATATTTCTCCTATATCATTTCATTTGTAGCGGTAGGATATGAAGTCATCAGGCGGTATTCAATAGAAAGACGTGATGTAAAAGAAAGATGTTGGTGAAAGTTCAAAGATTTTGGAAGTAATAAAGTTATGGGGTTGAAGTTTAAGAACCTTAGGTCATTACAATGTAAATAGGATACAAACCAATGTAGTATTATGGAGTTAGGTATCTAAGCTTATATAAGGTTGTTAGGTATATTTACTTTACCCTATATATATATATATATATATATATATATATATATATATATATATATATATATATATATATATATATATATATATATATATATAAAATAAGGAACACTCTAAAATTTATTTTGGCTCCGCCCTTGTCTGACAATGTACATATTCTTGTGATTAGATTCCATTCTTTAAATAGAATAAAAAAAAGGTATATATATAACAATAATACTATATTTGATGTATACTAATTTTTATTTTAAAGAATACACTTTATTATATAAATTAACAATTTTGTTTTTATCAAATATAAGACAAAAATGTCTTGCTCACGGATAGGTAATCGACACAAGGCAAACGCCAATTTGATTTTCTCTATATACTGACGTTTACATTAATTAATAATAATATTTTAAGGTAAATTAAACATATCTACTTGTCAAGTATCATTTGTAATGTTAATGTTTCTAGAGGACATCAAGAACTTAAGACGGCAAAACATTTGTCGTTAATTCAAAATGTCATTGATGACATCTTCATGGCTTCATGACTAAAACCATTACGTATTCATTTATAAATATGCAACAATCACAAAAACTTGATAACCTACTTATAATCAACATGGAAACGAAAGAAATGGTGGTGTTAGTGGTGCCATTTGTAGCACAAGGTCATCTCAACCAACTCCTCCACCTCTCCCGTCTTCTTTCCTCTTATAATCTACCAATCCATATCGTCGGCACCACCACCCACAACCGCCAAGCAAAGCTTCGTATCCATGGTTGGGATCCCACCTCCGCCACTAATATTCATTTCCATGAGTTTGAAACACCCAACTTCGAATCCCCTCCTCCAGACCCTAATGCTTCCGACAAGTTCCCTTCACACCTTCTACCATCATTCCATCTACAATCTCATCTTCGTGAACCTTTTGCAAAACTATTGGCTGATATTGCTCCCACAACCAGGCGAGTTATCATCATTCATGACTATCTAATGAGCTTAGTCGTTCAAGATGTAGTTTCCTACGAAAATGCAGAATCTTATGTCTTCCATTGTGCTTCGGCCTTTACCACGTTCTCGTACTTGTGGGAAGAGAAAGGAAAACCATGCTTAGAGGATGATGATGAATCATACAAGCAACTCACAATGGTCCCTGCTTTTGAAGGTACCATACCAGCAGAATTTATAGAATTCATTATGAGTCATCAAGTCTGCAATACGTTTAATTCGGGAAATCTTCATGACACATGCAATGTTTTCGATAGGAAATTCATCGACTTTCTCGCGAAAGAAGGATTGTCTGGAAGGAAAAAGCAATGGGCTATGGGTCCTTTTAATCCAGTGGCCATAAGCGATAAAGAAAACCTTGGGAAACGTCACATGTCGCTAGAATGGCTTGACAAACAAGCTCAAGACTCCGTGATATATGTTTCATTTGGCACAACAACTTCATTATCCGATGATGAGATCCGAGAACTTGCTAATGGATTAGAGAATAGTCAACATAAGTTTATTTGGGTTCTACGAGATGCTGATAAAGGGGATATTTTCAATGGTGAAGTTAGGAGAGTTGAATTGCCTAAAGGATTTGAAGAGCGACTTCAAGAAAAAGGATTGGTGGTGAGAGAATAGGCACCCCAATTAGAGATACTGGCTCACCCTTCAATAGGTGGATTTATGAGTCACTGTGGTTGGAACTCGAGTATGGAGAGCATCACCATGGGAGTTCCTATAGCTGCATGGCCAATGCATTCAGATCAACCAAGAAATGCTATACTAGTAACAGAGGTGCTAAAGACTGGCATAAGCGTAAGGGATTGGGAGCTCCGTGGTGAGCTAGTAACGTCTTCAACAATTGAAACAAGTATTCGGAAGTTGATGGCTTCTGATGAGGGAGATGCGATAAGGAAGAGAGCTGCTAAACTTGGCGATGATGTTAGGCGGTCAGTAGAAAAAGGTGGAGTAACACGCATGGAGATAGATTCATTTATTGCTCATATTACTAGATAGGATTTGTGTCCCTACTTAAAAAAAGCTTTGTTACTTCGTGTAGTCTCAACAGGAGTAATAAGAAAACAAGAGAATCCATAAATTTCTTATGGAAGAGGTTGCACTAAATCAATGTAAGGGGTTCAATGTAGTTATATGCTATCATATTAATTTGAATTTATTATTTTGTTAATATAAAGAAACCAAGAGTTACATGTATACTTTCATCCATTTAGGACAAACCAAGGACACAAAAAAGTTAACTGTTTGTTCTTATTAAAAAACATAATACTTTTTCGTTCATATATTAAAAGTTCATTGTTTCAAAATTCAAAATAATAGTATAATTCTAAAAATATATTTTTTTTACCAAAATATTATTCATTATTAGTTAACCTACCATGAAATTTAAAGCAACAAAATGATGAAATTAAATATAACAAAATGGTACAACTATCATTTCATTTAATAAGGTTAGTGATAATTAATATTTTCTTGATCTGTATGTTTTTTGTCGTCTGTAGAGAATAATTTAGGGACAAAGAGAGTATACGAATAGTTGATCAATATATCAACCAACTAATTTCTTGTAACATTGATTACTAAGAGTATTGCATTTCGAAAATTCCAAAGGCCACACCACATGATCATGACTATATATAGAATCCAAACTTTTTCTTTTGATATTGGAAAGAGGAACCATGTCAATCCTAAGAATAACATCCTCGAGATTCATAAAAAACGGAATGATTCACACCACTTTCCAATAAATCTCCAAAGATCCAACGCCACTTGACATGAAATGAAGACATGGGTGTTGTGTGCGATATTTGGATTGCATATGCCACACCCAATAGTTAGAATATCCAAGCCTTTCAATCCAAGTTTAACCTAGTAGCAAGTCTCGTTTGCCGAATTCTACAATTAGAAATGTTTACTTTACTTGGAATGAACTTTTTACACCTTTTAGGAACGGTACCTTCCGAGAGAATATAGTTTTTTATACCCCTTCTAACTTCCGAAATCGTGAAAGTATCATTGACACCAGAATTCCAAACTCACCTATCTTTTAAACTTATAAGGTGCAAATAAGAAGTGACTCACTAAACTGTTGAATATGAGAAGGAAGAGTTCATGTTATAATCGGCCTAGTCCAATCCCACTCACACATGACTCCATTCCATATATCCTTTATAATAAAATCCTTTTTCTTTTCAAAAACATACAATATTGGAAATTGTCTCATCAAAGTGTCGTCTCCTATCCACTAATAACATATAAGACCTATCTCCAAAAATCCTTTAATGACATTATTAACAATAATCTTAGATTCATGCGATTGGTTGATTATACCACTAATCTTTGGCCAAACCCCCTTAGTCGACATAGCTCTAACCTGACTCGATCCAAATCCTCCTTCTAAGACATAAAGGCATATTATTGTTGAGAAATGTCATTTCTATTTGAACAAAAGGGCCTTATTAAATGTATCTAAAGATCAAATATCCAAACAACCTTTGATTTGATTAGCCCATACAACATCTCATTTAATCCAAAGTTTCCTATCATCTTTATCCTAACCCCAAAAAAACATAGCTCACAATTTCTCTATATATTTATTAACACCACCATGAATGTGAAATAATGACATATATTAAATACATAGGCCGACCAACACCAACTTCAAAAACATAAATCGACCCCTAATAGAACCGATAATCGTTCCACAAATGGAAATGGAACATTAAAACCAAAAATATTTGATTTTCGTAAGTTCACTTGTAGGCTCGAAACCATAAAGAATCAATAGAGAATACCAATCAAATTAAGGATATTTATTGACTCCAATGGCCAAAAAATATTGCATCATTAGCATAAAGAAGATGTGAAAGATGTAAATCATCAAGGTAAATACCTCTATATAAGCCAACTTGTACCACATCTTCTATTGCAACATTTAATCCTTCCATTTCCAGTATGAAGAAGAAAGGAGACATGGGATCTTCTTGTCTTAACCCATATTGTATAGGGAACTCGTCAGTATGGCATCCATTAATCAAGACAGATGAACAAACATTAGAGAGAAAAGCTCTAATTAAGTAACCCATTTCTCAAAGGAAACCATGAACGCCATTATAGTAAAAGGAAAATCCCAGTAAAGCTAATCATAGGCTTTCTATATCGAATTTAAATATAATGAGTTTTTCTTCTTCAACTTACACTAGTAAACCACTTCATTTACAACAACCGTCCCATCAAGGATTTGTAAGGAAGTCGATTGTTATGAAGTTGTTACTCTATCAACCATATTTGCTAATCAAAGTGCTAAAGCTTTGCAATGATCTTATATTGGATGGAAATAAGAGTAATGGTCGCTAATCTTTAATACCAAGAGGATTTACCACCTTAGGAATCAATGTGATAAAAGAATAATTACAACCAGAAGGGATATTATTCGAATGAAAAACTCTAATACGAAGGAATAAATGTTATGCAAAAGTAAGTCTAATACCTTTTGACAAAAGCAAAAGTAAAACAATCCGGTTCTTGTGCCTTGTCATTTCTAAACGCCCATAAAGCATCCTACACTTCTTTAATCGATGGAACTACATCCAACATATGTGTCTGATCCGACTCTAAACTTTTAAAAGAAGATTAGGGTCTTAAGGAGGAGGAAAATTAGAAATTTGACTCTAAACTTTTAAAAGAAGATTAGGGTCTCAAGGAGGAGGAAGATTAGAAATGCCTCCAAAAGTAAAACCATCCGGTTCTTGTGCCTTGTCTTTTTCATATTCTCACAAGCTAGAAATGCCTCTAAATGATAAAGGATCTTAAGGAGGAGGAAGATTAGGGTTTCTAGAGGTCTAGAGAGTGAGGGAAGCTGAGGGTAAGAAACCCTAGCCCTCTTATTCCCTTAAATACCAAAAACTTATGGTTTTTACTCACCAGCTGCCATCATGGCATGAGCATAATACTTCTCACATCGTGAACCTTTAAATGATGCATGAGTCTGGATCACTATTCACGATGTGAGAAGGCATTCCTCATGTCGTAGGAAGGGCCAAAAGGGAAACTTTGAACTTTACAATATAAAAGATAATATGCACCTGATCTGGGTGTTACATCATTCATCCACCAATTAGCAGTTTGTGTTTCTTTAGAATCTGAAAAATAATAGGAGTACTTTTCCTGCCGAGATTTTCGGGCTCGCGGGACTTAGTTTCCTCCTTTTCAGATTCAGTATCATCCCCATCAAATTCAGTGAAGCGATGGAATTGTTCAACAGGCTCTTAATGTGGAATTATATTATCATCATCAACCAACAACATGATTTTTGTCTGATCATATGTAGATTCATCAACATCAAAAGCTGGACCAACATCATCAACAACCTCACATTTATACCTAAAATAACCCGTTCTACAAATCCATTGTAACAAGGAACATGATTGAATGTCATAGGTAATAAATTACAAATTTGGTTACTTCTGGCACTGAAAGACCCATTACCACCAGAATGATTCCCCCTAAAAATCAATTAAGACCAATTTCCATAACATGATTGACAACAAATAGTTATACTGTGGTAGAAGATATAGTACTAACAAAACTAATAAAATATTTGACATCACCATCGTCAAGAATCTATATAACTATGTTTGATCTAATATATTGGAAATATAGACTTAATTGATTAGTGTAACTTGGACTAGGAAGCAACCAACATAATTAACCCACAAAAGTTGATATCACTACTTATATCTACACCAAAGCATGTGTAGTCTAGAGCAATATAATGCATAGATCTCTTTATTCATTGCAATTTCCTTCTACTACCGATACTCTAAAAAACATCCTCATATGTACTCATTTTTTAGTATCCAAAATTTTTATGTGTTTATGTAGCCATATTGATAATACAAATACCCTAATATTATCAATTTGGAACATGAATCCAGAACATCCTTTGGAACCCCGGTATTTCTCTTCGATTCCTAAGTTAGATGTTATATTTAAGGAATGAACATGGGTTAGGTATGATTAAAATATTGCTTTCTTACCTTGGTTTAAGGGGAACCTTGATATATAGTTAGGACCCAGAATAGTTCGTGATTCTTCTTCTAAACCTTATGTTGGTCCTTAGGTTGTAAGGATGAGACTTCTTTTTAATAAAATCGGTTTGCCTTTTTGTGTTTCATGGGGATGCTTCATAGGTTGTATACGAGAGTAGGGTGTTTCTTGCTATATGTGATCGGTATTACGTACGTATTTATGGCTTTGTTACCAGGCCGGGTTCATTAGCTGTCCTGGTATTATGTGGGCTACCACCCATATCCCATTAAGCCCACAACCTAATTGTTATAATGTACAACTGATTTATAATAATTGGTCTTAATAGGTTGTTGCTTTTTTGAATCCATTAAAAACAGTCAGTACATGTTGTCTTTTCCACATGCCTGGATCCTTGGGAGGTCTATAGGCACTCGAGTATTTTTGTAGCAGTTGGCTTTCCTAATTCTCCTTTCATAAATGCTTGTCACAACCTTGGCAATTTTTTTCTTTTGATTCTTCCTTTCTTTGGTCACTATTTTCTCTACTCTTTCTTCTTCTCGAATCATCATTAGTGTTAGCAAGAGAATGTCTAATTCAGTCATGTCCTTCATTTACTATTCCATTAATCGCGAGCGACTTGACCATATTTCTGCAAAGTACCATTTTATCGATGAATATGGTGTCGCCCTTCCTGGTCCTAATGTAGTGATCGATCATCCTCTGATGGGTAAGTTTGGGTTTTATCTTTATTACTTTGAAGAGGGCATTTGTATGCCTCCATCTCCCTTTTTTAGTTCCATTATTGTAGTGTATCAGATCCATACATGTCAGTTGAAACCTAACTTGATTTCGAAGGTTATCTGCTTTGAAATGCTCTATCATGCCTCACTTGTTTTTCCTACCGTTGATTTGTTCCAGTATTTTTCCCTACTTGTAGCAATGTGTATTGGTATTATTTTCTTTCAAGG